TCTTTCTTTCTTTCTTTGGTTTTGGTTGGTTGTGGGCCTTGAACCTGGGCCTAGGCACTGTCCCTGAGTTTTCAGCTCAAGGCTAGAGCTCTACCACTTGAGCCACAGCACCAATTCTGGTTTTCTAATAGTTATTTGGAGTTAAGAATCTCATGGACTTTCCTGCCCAGGTTGGCTTTGAACTGTGATCCTCAGATCTCAGCCTCCTGAGTAGATAGGATAACAGAAATGAGCCACTGGCACCTGGCTAAATGTTTGAATTTCTATAAACTTCATTATGTCATTGCTTCTACACAGATTCATCTTATAATGCATCTTTCTTTAGCTTACAGACAGAATAATTCTCTCTCTAGCTTTCTCTTTTGAAAATTTTTATTGTCATTATAAAGGTGATGTACAGAGATGTTACTGTGTTATGTCAGGTAATATATACCTTTATTTTTGGATGTCACCTCTTCCCTCATTTTCTCCCAGTTTTTCCTGCTTGTCCACACCCACAGGATGTATAGTTAGTTCTCAATATAGTTTCAAATGAGTACCACTGCTGCTTTTGTTAATCCTATGTCTCTCCATTTTTTAGTTTCTGCTTAGCAATAGCAATAGTCATAAGACAATATGTTGGAAATGAACTTCAAAACTGGTGTGGAGGGAGGGATGGGAGGGAAGGGAGAGTGGGAGAAAAACAAGGGAGGGGGTAACTGAAAGGATCTGTCACATCCATCCCAGGGGACCACACAGAGGCAGGCAGGCACAGGAGGTTTATTAGAGGAGCCATATTTGCTCCAGAGAGAAAGTGCATGGAGACCTCTACTATCTAGGTAGGAACAAGGGCTGAGGGAAGGAAGTAAGGTAGATGGGAGTTCAGGTGAGTCTGGGCAGAAAGAGGGAAGGCCCAGCAGGTCTGGGTGGAGCTGAGGTGGCATAATGCTTACATTCCCCACTCTGTTGTTTAATAAAAATAGAGGTACCAGGCCGGGGATATGGGCAGAGGTCATTTCTTCTGGAGCTACTTCCTGCTGTAAGTAGTCAGGGGTCCCTGTTTGGTTGCTCGGCTGGGTACCGTCCCAGAAGCATCTGCTTGACAGTGGTTGGTAAAGCCCTCCTTTTTCCATGAGAATAGTTGTCTAAAATGCAAGACAATTTATAAAAGGCAAAATTGCTGTTAAGGGAAAAATTGCTGTTAGCAGCCATGGAAGGAGTGATTCCCAGAAGGAGCTATCAAAGACCTGAAATTGCCTTTTCTGTCTCAGATTGGAGACACAGCAATCCCAGCATCTTGGAAGGGGGGAATAATCTTTTAACCTGAAAAAGAAGTAGCCGAATTATTTAAAGGTACCAGAGCCAACGGGTATCTTGGATTCTTTTGCCCACTTCCTGCTGCCCTGGGGCCATCAAGGAATATCTGGAGTTGGGGTCCTTTGGGGTTTAGGGCTGCGCTGGGCAAGGCAGGGCAGTGTAAATGTCTCTGGTTGCCTGTAGGAACAGGATGGCCTTGACTTGTTCCCAGGTGGTATCTAGGGTGAGAGATGTTATCTTGTTGAAAGAGACTTTTGGAAACATCAGGCAAAAATCTGACAAGGTGACAAGGTCAGTTAATATGAATGGCACAAGAGAACACACATTGGCCCTGGGCCAGAAATGTGCCATTTGGAGTATAAGCCCGGTTGCAGCCCATTACAGGGAGGGAGGAATAACTGGACTCGGGGCAAGGAAGGCAGGAAGGGGGTGTCCAGGTTCTTTTGTATAACTGGGTAAAGGAGAGCATTATGCACTGATTGGGAATACCAGTCAGAGGTTACAATAAATACAAATAGCAGGTGACAAAGGTAAGACTGCTAACTTTCTATCCAGTTAGAAGGTAGACAGGTATGGACATTAGGTGGGCAAACAAATATTTCTCTTGATCTCCCAGTGCTGATTAATTTTGAAAAGGTGAATATAAAGTGACCCCATTTAGGATGTCATTTCCTCTTATTCCTCTCCATGGTTTTCCATTGTCAGGACTGACTTTGTCCTGGTGGCTATCTCAGGGTCTATTCCTGGGATAGCTTGTCCCAGTTTAAAAAAAAAAAAAAAGACTAACTGCGGCCAGGCACTGGTGGCTCACACCTTTAATCCCAGCTACTCAGGAGGCTGATATCTGAGATCTGAGGATTGCAGCTCAAAGCCAGCCCAGACAGGAAAGTCCATGAGATTCTTATCTCCAATTAACCACCAATAAAACTGGACAGTGCCCAGGCTGAATTTAAGTCCCACAACCAACAAAAAAGAACTAATTGCAAACAGTACATTATTAAAAAAAGAGAAACAAAACAACAACAAATACTCTAGCTTCCACCTTATAGAGATCATTTTGATTAGCATCATTTATATGGTCATATTAACATACCTATGGGGCTATTGTGAGCCTCTGCTTGAATTGTGAGGGGTATAGCTGTTAATTCTTTCAAATGAACCTAGAAATCCTTCCATTTCTTCTGGGTTTTCCTATTGCATTGAAAAGTTATTCAAAGTGTATTGTCATCTTTTTATGTGCTGTATTTTCACATTTCCTTCATTTTAGTATAAGTCTATGTATTTCTGTATATTTGTATGCATAGGTTGATAGGTGACAGACTACACAGTTATCCCTCGTGTTCCACTTGATCATATATCATCCCTATGTATGTATAATGGTATGCATGTCTTTATTTCTTTACAACCCATTCTATCACTGGCTGCTAATAATGATGATATACCACATAAAGGAATTTAGGGACTCAGATAAAAGTGGAAATCTCTTTGTCTTTAATATTATCCACATATAGCAAATGTCACAAAATCCTTAATTTCCTGTGGTTTCTGAACATGTACAGTATCTTAAATAAAATCTTCGGAATAAAAGAATGTCCTAACACAGAAAGAAACAAAGATCTACAGTTAACAGAGCAGTCAACTTGGTCTCTGTTTGGCCTCCAGAGACAAACACATTTTCTTTGTCTTTTTTTCATATATAATAGATTTTTTATTGTGAAAATACTGTACAGGGGGGTTACAATTACATGGGCAAGATAATGAGTACATTTCTTACCAAGCATTGTAGCCTCCTCCTTTGTTTCCCCTTCCCATCCCTTCCCATCCTTTCCCTCCTACCCAGTCCTCCCCCCATTCCCCCCACCCTACATCAAAGTTGTAAAGTTTGGCATCAAAGTTGTAAAGTTCGTTTTCGACATAACTTGTACATCTCATTGTTGCAATTGGTCCACCTGTATCCCTATTTAAATGATTTGTTTTTCCCCTTCCCCTCCACAAATTATATCGACATCAAATACAGTGAAATCAGGGGTTATACTGTTGGGGAGGGACATACAAAGTAACAAAGAAATAATCTTATAAATGTGTTAGAAACAATAGCATGAAAGAAAAAACATTTGAATCCATATCTTAGGGTTCATTTCCCTAACATCACCTTATCTGACCTTTTCTGCTTGACTCAGACATATACTAGATTATAATAGATTTTTTTATATATAAGAAAAGATATTCAGTTATGTGCTGATGGCTCATTCCTGTTATCCTAAACTTAGGAGGCTGAGATCTGAGGATCATGGTTTGAAGCCAGACCAGTCAGGAAACCCCATGAGACTCTTATTTTTTTTTGTTTTTGGTCTGGTTGTGGGGCTTGAAGTCTGGGCCTGGGTGCTGTCCCTCAGCTCTTCAGCTCAAGCCTAGCACTCTACCAATTGAGTCACAGTGCCACTTCCAGTTTTTTTCTTCTTTGCTTATGCAGTGCTGAGGAATCGAACCCAGAGCCTCATGCATGCAAGGCAAGCGCTCTACCACTGAGCCACCTTTCCAGCTCAGCCAATGAGACTCTTATCTCCAAGCAAAAAGCTAGAAGTAGAGATGTGGCTCAAATGCTAGAGTGCTAGTCTTGAGCACAAAATCTCAGGAGTTCAAGCTGCAAGACTGACACCAGAAAACAAAACCAAGGAAAAGGAAAAGAAATTTAGTTCATATTCATCTCCTTGGAGCCTCTTCTTTCCCACAACACAAAGCTGTAGTCTACTTGTATCTGTGTTGTCATTCTTAATACATGGGAAGCAGAAGATTTACATCATCTTTAAAAAGCTGCAAAACAATATGGTTTAATGTAGCCCCAGGGCTCAAAATATAAAAATCATAGGGATGGTTGATCCAGTGCCAACAATACAGAAAGCCAGTTATAAAAGGCTACATATGAAAGAAGTAAAGCACAAAATGATTATGCCATAAAAAACTGGGATTGTCTCAGAACTCAAATGCAGCTGTGCCAGAAACAGCAAATAGTTACACGCATTTCTCTAAGTATGTAGGGAGACTTTGAATAGTGTGATGTTACACAAAAATTAATCCAAGGTTCTATGTAGCCTTTGTTTAAGTCCAAGATAAATACTATCCAACACAGAGAAACTCTTCAGTAGGATAGACCAACTGCTTTGATTTTTGTACTGTCGGTAGCTGTTTCAGAATGCAAATTTAAGAGCCCAACTCAAACTAATTCAAACTAAAACAGAATTCTTTTTCTTTCTTTCTTTCTTTTTTTTTTGTCGGTCGTGGGATCTGAGCTCTGGACCTGGGCACTGTGCCTCAGCTCTTCAGCTCAAGGCTAGTGCTCTACCACTTGAGCTACAGTGCCATTTCCAGCCTTTTCTGCTTATGTGGTGCTGAGACAAGCATGTAAGACAAGCACTCTACCACTGAACCACCTGCCCAGCCCAGAAGTATCAATTTTCAATAACAATAAATCCATGACTGATGCTTCAGGGTTCTCTTATATCCTCCACTTTTACTTGCTTTTTTTCCTGATGGACAAACACATTTTCTAGAGACAAATGTATCCTGCTGTGGCATGGTCATAAACACCTGGGGAAACAGCTCTTGCTGAGTTACTGACATTCAGAAGCCTGCAGCTATTCTAGCTCTGTCTAGACCATGGTGATTTGTATGTGCCCAGGGCACAGCCCACAGCCCTCAGGACTTCATACCAGCCTGTTCACACTCTGTGCAGCAGTCAATCTCAGTCAGCACACAGCATGGACATGAGGGCCCCTGCTCAGCTCTTGGGGCTCCTGCTGCTCTGGATCCTAGGTAAGGAAGAACTATGCTGGGCTTTAACACAGCCCAGTGTGATCCAGGATTCTTTATTCTTCAGGAAGCCCTCTGATAACTTGATTAATATTGTGGATGTTTGTTTTCATGTTTCTACACAGGAGCCAGGTGTGAAATCCAGACGGCCCAGTCTCTATCCTCACTGTCGCTGTCTCTAGGAGACACCGCCACCTTCACTTGCAGGGCCAGTGAGAGAATTGGTTACAGTTTAGCTTGGTACCAGCAGAAACCAGGGAAAGCTCCAAAACTCCTGATCTATGCTGCAGATACTTTGTTGTCTGGAGTTCCATCAAGGTTCAGTGGTGATGGATATGGGACAGAGTTTACTCTCACCATCAGCAGCCTGCAGCCTGAATATGTTGCCACTTATTACTGTCAACAAGGTTACATTGTTCCTCCCACAGTGATACAAGCCATAACATAGAACTCCCAGGGAAGCAGAAGTGAGAGGCTGGGCTGCCCACACAGCTGCTTCTCTTGGTGCTTTCCCCTGCTGAGAGTGCTTCTCACAGGAATCCAGGCTTAGAAAGTTACTGCAAGGTTTTGGTAGAAGAAAAAAGATTTTTTTCAACATCATATTTTTCTTTCTTTTGCTTATCCAATAGGACACAAATTATGTTTGCTCTCCTGATTAAAAAAATCAAACAATGTAGTAGTCCTAAGGATTCCAAATTATGGGATCAAAGTGGATTTAAACATCAAAATAAAAATATAGAGATTTAAAGGATCATTTAAACTAGTGATAGATTTTATTCTGGGGTGGGGGATCTATGCCAGGATAGTGACATGGGTTTGTGGCTGACTTCACCTGTGGTCCACAAACATGCTCATTTAAGATGTAGATTATTGTACTATCAACAAGAGAGCTTAACCATCAGTCTGAAAAACCTGATTTAAGCCATCCAGTGACTTCTGCACAGTGAAAACAAGGTGTGAAGGTATGCTCTGTAACCCCACAGCTGCTCAAGTGTAATTTGCCAATGATGGGAGATGGAATTCTTATCCTCCAGGATGAGCATTTATGGATTCCATCTGTTAGACTGAGGAAATTTCCAAAAGCAGCATTAACTTGTACTTCTGTGAAACTTGTCAAACAAACAGCGAGAGTAAGGTTGGTAATTTTTAGAGGCTCCCTTTGCCTTGGAAAAATCCCCACTCTTCTTGTTTTTTGTTTTGTTTTTTAACTTTATTTTTATTGTCAACGTGATCTACAGAGGGCTTACAGTTACATATGTAAGGTAGTGTGTACATTTCTTGTTGAACATTGTTGCCCTGCCCCTCATTTTCCTCCCATTCTCCCCACCCAAATTATATATTCTGTTTTATGAAACAAAACAATAACCCAACCATAATAATTTGGTAGTAAATAAGTAACTGGTGAAAAATCATCAATCTGTCTCACAGTGTTTGTGCAGAACCGTGCACTCTCCTCTCATTATTGGAGAATCCATGGGGATGATGGACGGACCTAGACTCCATAACACCTGCCCGCTATCCATGGAGAACTGGCCTCCACTTCCTGAAGGTCCAGTCAGTGTCTACTACACAGTTATGGAAAAATTACTTTAATTGGTCCTGGGCCTGGGCACTGTCCCTCAGTTCTTCAGCTCCAGGCTAGCACTCTACCATTTGAGCCACAGCGCTACTTCCAGCTTTTTTCTTTTTGCTTATGTGGTGCTGAGGAATCGAACCCAGGGCCTCAGGCATGCAAGGCAAGCACTCTACCACTGAGCCACCCTCCCAGACCATTCTCTGTGGTTCATCACATTTGGATTTCAGCATGTTCCCTGGGGCCCCAGACAGTTCCTGTGGTAGCAAGTTAAAAAAAAAAATAACTGACTATCTGCAGCATTGTTTCTGAGCATGAAAGAACACAATACTGTCTGCTCATTGGACTCAACGACTGTCCCAGTGCTACAGTTTTGAATAAGAAACTACCTGCTTGGGTAGCCCAGCTGTAAACTTGTCCCTTCCATGTGGATCAAGCAGGACATACACCCTAGTTCTGTGTCAGAGAAAAATGTCAAGGAATTCATGTGTCCAAATTAGTAAGAAGCCATGAGACACCCAGTTTGTACCTGTCTCCTGGGGTGGCACAGCATCTTATTTATGGCTAAACCTTTAGGGGAATGGAGCAGTGAGACTTGATGCTTGGAGAGCTGACTGGAAACCTCATCCTCAGTTTCTCTATTTTGTTTGTACAGTGTAAGTGTAACAATTGAGGCTGAATTTGTGGCAGGAATACTAGAGCAGTTTGACTGATCACTTGTGATTTACAATTATGGTCTCTAGTGTTACAATATATCACTTGGTAGTATGAGAAACTTCTTTTTTCCTCGACTATTGCCTTCTGCTTTTACTTACTATGTATTCCTTCACAGTCCAATGGCACACATAGGGAGCATGATCCTAAAGGAGAAGCTAAGAAGGATGTGGAAATGAATACTTAGTTTTAATTACTTACAGTTTATCCACAGTTAAAATGAATAAATGTTATTCAACACCATTAAAAATACAATGTAAAACTAAATATATATCCTGGAGAAATCTCATTAAAAAGAGTTTAATATAAACCACTATCATTTCCCTTCTATTTATTTCCTTCTCTTCCTATCTTTCCTTCTTCCTTCCTTTCTTTAATGTGTGACTATCTAGGTTTGTGATGTCTGCGTGTGTGCATGTGTAAGGTGAGGGGGTGGGAGTTTGCTGGAACTGATAATCTAATTCTGAGAGTCATGCATGATAGACTTATGGTCTATCACAGATCTATATGAAAATTTTGCAATTACACAGTTGAGCTTGATTTTTATTGGTTTTTTTCAATTCTTAAGGAAAAGATCAGTTTATAAATGGAAATAAAATGATCCCATACAGGATGAAAACAAATTTTAAAAAATCCAAAATTGTGATGTAGGTCAAAGCATATTTTACCATACTGGATGCTGATAGTGAATGCTTTCCATGTTAAAGTAATTCATGAGTCACTCAATGCACTCTAAATAAATCCATTCATTATATTATCATAATCTGGGAGGTGGACACTTGTGAAACCTAGCACCAGGAAGCAAACCTGGCATCAGAATGAGACTCAATCTCAACATATAAAATGCAGAACAATCTGAGTTCAGAGTGAGACCATATTTCAACATACAAAACACAGAAATCACTGTAGAATTTTGATGATTCAGAAACATATATTAATTATGCTATCATAGAAGTAATGAGAAAAAGCTAGACTGAACAAAATGCTCTTATTTAAGAAAATAATCATGAATTCAAAATTTTCCATACTAATATATCCTATAATGAGTACAATATAAGTTCTTTTTTTGCAGTTTAACAATCCTATGAAAACCATTTTTTGTGGAGAGGATCTTGGCAGCAGCAAAATACTAATTCAACATATGGCAGTTTGCCTATATGAATGGGGACCTATTAAAACACTTTCAAGCAAAAGAAGGATAAGAAAGCACATGAGCTCTAGTTCTACCCTATTTGAAAACAGAACAAGAGTGCCTCAATTAGAAATCAAGGAGCCAAATCTTGTCATCATTTCACATCAGTGTTGCAGATATGGACCTAAAAGAGGAATCTGATCATTCACAGTGTTACACCTCACGGCACAACATCTGTGGTCATTGATTCACATGCCTGGTGACCGTAAGTGCTTTCACGTGACAAGTGACACAGCAGCTATGCCTGTCTGAATCAGCTCTCACAGGTTTGTGAGACAGGAGAACTCTAGATCAGGAGACCTCATCTTTCATCCCACCCTGACGTTATACCCTAGAGTTCCTCCAGGAACACTGTCTAAAACCACATTATTAACATTTTGAATATATCTTAATAGCCCATTCATAAGTGTCTTATGACTAACATGTTTTCTGAATTTAAGGTTGCCTATTAGAGTTTAATATTGAAATAGATGTCTGAATGACTGGGAAGGGGAATTTCTTTACTGTAAAGATACTTTACAGAGGGGTTAGAGTTACTTGAGTAAGGTAAGTTAATGAGTACATTTCCTATTGAGCATTGTTACCTCCTCCTTTGTTTTCCCCTACTACTCTTCCTTCCCTCCCTATCTCCTCAACTCCTTCTGCCCCCATACCCGAAGTTGTAAAGTTTGTTTTCAGCATAGTGTCTTGTACATCTCATTGTTACAATGGGTTAACCTGTAATCTTATTTCAGCATTTTGTTATTTCCCTTCCCTCCCCAAATTAGAAAAATGTGTATATAAGATGTAGGGCACCAGAATCAAATACAGTGAAAACAGGGGCTATACCAGGGGGAAGAACATACAAAAGAAACAAAAATTTGCATAGTACATTAAAAACAACAGCAACAAAGAAAAATGTCTTGTGTCCCTATTTGAAGTTCATTTCACTTAGCATCATCTTATATGCGGCATTGTTTTATATTCCTTACAGATTCCATTCTAGCAATGGATGAAAAGGATCAACAATAAACACTGATGGAAGAAAAGCATCACAAGTAAAAGTGGAGTTTGTCAACTACTGAGATCTACTATCTGGCATTGTATAATCTCAATGTGAGAGAAAGACTATCAGATGGCAAACAAATTCCAAAATAAACAAAAGAGCTCCTATCTTATAACAGCAAAGTAAGAATGAGTGTCTTGCTCTGTATTTCACAGGTCTTCCCTGCTGTATATTGCAACATTAGGCCAGGGTCTCCCTACCCAGGACAAAATTAGAGATTAGGGGAATATCAGCTCAGAAATGAGATGTTACAAGTGTGTGTGTGTGTGTGTGTGTGTGAGAGAGAGAGAGAGAAAGAGAGAGAGAGAGAGAGAAAGTTGGGAAATTTGGTCAGTTCTTTTAAAAGATTGTGTTCCTCCATAAACTGGAAATCTAAGAGCTTTCCTTCAAATTCTTTTTGGAAGTTTTATAAGAGAACTTGACAGAAGCACCACAGCTTTCTTGACACCATGAAACACTAAGCCTGGGATTGAATAGTCTACCTGAGTATGGTAAAGTAGACATACTGAAGGAACCTGAGTCCTTTCTACCATCATTATGTTGTAATAGCCCACTCCTTCCCAGCCTTCAGACTTCTAAGAGTGAGTTGGTGCTGCATTATTGTTTCTTCTGCTAGCATATAGAGATGCATCCTCTGGAACTTGTCCCAAGTAATTCTATCTTGCTGTCATAGAGATGCTCTGCATGTCAGACTGTAGCAGAGCAAGCCATCCTTCCTGTAGGTGAACAGCTAGCTGAGAAATCAGATTTCATGATAAAAGCAGAGACAGTCTCATTAAGGGGTACCTGTTGCTGGGTGCTTTTTCTCATATCATGTCATTTGAGGAAATAGAAGAGGCAATCCAAAAAGTCATATGGAACAATAAAAGACCCCGAATAGCAA